ATGTCTGTGTTTTCTCTCAGCTAAGCCATTCTGCTGAGGAGTATGAGGACAAGAAAGTTTGTGATGAATTCCATTATCAAGAAAGAACTTACTCAAAGCTCTAAATTCTCCCCCCCCCCAGTCAGTTTGAACAGATTTAATCCTACTATTGAGTTGGTTTTTAGCAAGTTTGTTAAAATGTAGAAAGGCATTGTAAGTATCAGACTTGTTTTTAAGAAGATAGAGCCAAGTGAATCTGCTATGATGATCAATAAAAGTAACATAATATAGATAGCCATTTCTGGATTTAATAGGAGAGGGACCCCACAAATCTGAGTGAACAAGTTCAAGAGGAGCAGAATATATAGTCTCAGATTGAGCATAAGGAAGTCTGTGAGCTTTTGCTAACATACAAGAAGAACAAAGATCATTCATATCATTCATCTCAAAAGGAATATTACAATCTTTTAAAGCTCTTATTACAATGTCATATGAGGAATGTCCTAATCTCTTGTGCCATAGATCAAGGCCACATTTCTTGGAATGAAAAACAGCTGAAACTGCATGGATGCTAGGTTGAAGGTTGTTTGAGTGATTTAAGGTGACATTGGACTGAGGATCTTTGTGACTGGTAAGATGGAATTGATAGAGACCTCCTTTAAGGTTCCCTTGAGAAGAATTTGGTGAGTAACCTGGTTCTTAACAAGACAAGAGTTAGGATAGAATTCAAAGAACACATTATTATCAGTGGCAAACTCAGAAACACTAAGGAGATTTTTGGTGATAGAAGGAACATGAAGAAGTTTATTCAATTTAAAAACTTTAGAGGATTGAGTAGATGTAAGTTGAGCTGAACCAATATGAAAGATAGACTCACCAACACCATTTCCCATGTGAAGTCTGTTCAGCCATTGATATTCTGCAGCATTTGACAGGTTGCTTAAGTCATTAGAAATGTGATTTGTAGCTCCTGAATCTGGATACCACAAAGACTCCATATTGCTTTCTGAAGAGATGCTAGGTGAAGGTGGTGGTAGTTGAGCTAAATGAAGAGCTGGATTCCTGTTGGGATTAGTAAAGCCACTGCCTTGATTTTGAGAAGATGAAGTGTTTTGCTGATTTGAAGGCACAAAGTTGGAATCATATCTATACCAACACCTATCAGCAGTGTGTCCTGTGACCCAACATACTTGACAAACAGCTCTGCCTCCTTGAAAACGGCCTCCTCTTCCTCTAAAACCACCTCTTGATCTGCCTCTCCCTCTAAAGCCACCTCTTCCTCTTCCTTGATTGTTGTTGTTATTCCAGTTTCCTCTTTGATTTCCTTGAGTGGCTAAGTTGAGAGAGGGTTGAGAGCCATCAGTGTTGACATTGCTATTGTTGTTAGAAGTGGTGGCAGCCTCAAGTCTAGACTCATAGCTAAGGAGGAGAGCTTGTACATCCATCACAGACCAAGTATCAATTCTTGAAGTGACAGTGATCATCACAGGATCATATTCACTGCCTAAAGCTGAGATTATGCGCAAGATTTGATCTTTTCCACTGACTTTTGCTCCCACAGATGCTAACATGTCAAAACACCCCTTCATTTTGTTAAGAAACTCCCTCATGCTCAAGTTACCTTTTTTCATTGTTTGAAGTTGCAGTTTGAACTGCATTTGCTTGGCTAGGGATTGACTTGTGAAGTTGGTGGACAGAGCATTCCAGATTTCTTGAGAGGTTTGAAGCCCCACCATTTGAACAAGAAGGCTTTCTGAAAGGGAAGACAACAGCCATGAAGCAAGGATTTGGTCTTGCCTTTGGTAAGTGATGTACTCAGGATTGATCACTTGAGACCCCTGCTGCTGTATGAACTGAGGTGGTTCTTGTCCACCAAGGAGATAATGCTCAAGACCATAGCCTCTAATAGTGATTAGAGCTTGTTGTTTCTAGATGAGATAATTGTTTTCATCAAGCTTTGTGGTTAAGAGTTGATTCTGGGGATAACTGACTTGAAGGGGTGTGTTTGGTGTTTGTCCCCCGGAGCCAGACATGTTAGAGCTTGTATCTAACATCCGAGGAGCTTAATAAATCAAGAGGTGGGGTAATCAGCAGCAGGCTAAGCCTGCTCTTATACCATGAAAGAAAACTAGTAGATTAAAGAACAAGAAAGTGAGGAAAACTGTATTCACCATTTCTGATATTTTTGAAGCTTTTTCCACACACATAAGCTGCGGCATGTCTTACATATTTATATGCAAAACCTAGTCTAAGATGGATAAGAATTGACTAGTACATGAAATAATCCTAGCCCTACACATCTCTATCCAATGCTGTCAAGATCAAAGGTGGAGATGGAACATGGTACATCATTTCTGATCATAGCCGTTGAGTTTGTCTTATGTGTAACAAACTCTGTCACAGGTACACAGCTATCACGTGTTGCAGCTTCCTTCTCTTGTGGACTGATCAGTTGGGCCAACATGCACTTGGGCTGTGAACAAGAAATACCTGCATTGGGCTCTAAATGGACAAGAACTGCTTTTGGCTATGCATGGCTGGGTTGGACGTGTGCATGGGCTGACTGAGGAGTATCTCCAACAAGCTGCTAGCCTTCTAAGCGATGGTCATGCCTGGTTTCTTGCCTCAATTCTGGAACAATGGGTTCGGAATAGAGACAGCTGGTTTTAGTGACTCGAACTAGCGGGAAGATCGATCGAAATTATAATGGGGATGGTGCGAATGCGAGAATTCACTGTGCGAATGAATCTGCTATAAAATGCTGCAAATCTCACTCAATTGAATGGAATCATACTAGGATAGCTTCAGAATAAGGGATAATTAATCAAGAGTGATAAATTGCAGCGAAAATTCACTTGCGATCAGCGGTATCAAAGCAAAGCCGGGCCCTAAGATACGAATTCTTAGTGATAGAAAGTCTACCCTCTATCTAACCCTCACACCTCTTAATTTGTATTGTTGCTATTTAGTATTGATAGCATTATCCATGATTATTATCCAGGATGTCTCGTCTCGTCTCTTAAATGTTATGTAGATATGTTATATTATTTGTGTGCAAGTCCGTGTAAAT